TACAATTAATATAATATCTTAACAAATTAATCATTTGTCTAACCGGATTTATCTCTCTAACAAACTTGCAATTTTTTTAAAATTAAAATGGTATGATTATTCTTATGGAGATACTTATTAATATATTAAATATTTAGAAACTTTTTTTAAAAAATGAGTTATCCATCCTTTTACTTTATTTGAAATTCTGACTTATATTTTTAAATATATTATTATTTATTTTTTTACATGTAAATATTTATTATTTATTATCTAAGTGATAAAGATTATTGATTTATCTCTTTAATAAATATTTATTATTTATTTTTTCCTTACGTGATATAATGTAAATTTGGTTACTAGATTTTTAAATTCAAACATTTAGGAAAAAAACCACGAACAAATTTTTTGGTTACATTTCATTTTATTTTAACTTTCATATAATCACAATCCTAACAAACTAATTAGTATAATATTTTTTTACCCATTTTTATATAATCGGATTTCTTAAAATATAATTAATATAACATTTTAACTATTTAATCATTTGTATAACTTGATTTAACTCATTATCAAACTTGCCAAATTTTTTTATGAAAGTAAAAAAAATTTGGAATATTTTTATTTGTAAAATAATAAAAAATAGCTTTACTTTAAAGTCTGAATTATTTCCATTATTTTTTGTACGTTAACAATCATATATTTTGGATTATTGATTTAAAAAAACAAATCAAAACCGTAAGGTTTAATAATATTCCATAAATAAAAAATATTGTATAAAGAAAAGTATTTAATATTATATATTTTTCATTGATTATATTTATTTTATTTTCATAATAGAAGAGATGTGAAAAATAGAAATAATTATATTTAAAATAAAGTCTAAAAAATATTTAAAATATGAACTGTGCATCGCACGGGATATACACTAGTTTACAGTGGAAAAAAGAAAGCACTCTACGCCACGCAACCTATAACCCTTTCGCCTTCAATCAATTCATCTTCCACGCCATCGATTTTCCCGAGAAAAAAAAATACAAGCTTTATTACTTATTGGTTCAATTTTGTGTCTGCTAAGTATTTCTGATTATCTCGTGTACCGTCGTCGCAATTTTTCGCAAGATTTTTTTATCTTACTTTGGAAATTCAGTCGGTGGACTTTGGCTGTTTGTGTCTCGATATACCGTTTTTGAGGTAGGTTTTATGCATTTGATCCTGTCACTTAATATTTTTTTTTTTGTAGGTTTTCAAGAACACTCCTTTAAGACGTATTGCTATTCAACGGTTGTATTATGGAATTTTTGGGTTTCCGATAGTGCTTTTGCCTTCCATTGTTTGAAGCTTGTGTTAATTCTAGCTGCGATAATTTTTGGAAAAGTGAGATTAACTTATAAAAGAAAACAGAAAACTAACTGCTGGTTTGGGATGAAGTTTTTTGATAGTAGGACTCGGATTAAAGACACAGTTTTGATATTTGTGATAGCTTTGCAGCTCAGAGCCATATTTCTGATACCTAAAAACTGCATTTTGTATTGTTCCTATAATCCTTATTTTCACCATCTTCAAGAGGAGCTTTTGGGAAGATATATGTATAAGGTACAATTCATCCTCCGAGAAGAAGTTCGAAACCCTCGCCCTCGCCCCACTTCAGTTCCGACGTCCCTCAGCTCTCTCTAATTCAGGTATTGATGGCGACATCTTTGGCTATTCGAATGTCAACCTGTGGCTAAATTTGATAAAGCAAAACAGGGATTGATTGATTTAATGTAGGAGTCCAAAGTAGTTGAGGATTGTTTGCAATGGCAGAAAGCGGAATTGTCTCAAACCCCACCACACATCTAATTCCCGATAAAGGTCAGCCACATAGCAACAACGACGATTTGATGCTTTTGGTGCGGTATTTTCACGGCGCAACCCTCGATTGTTCAGTAATCACAATCCAAAACAACTCCATCAAAGTGCTTGATGATGGTAATCTTTCAAGCTTGTCTCTACTCAAAGAAGATAACTTTGATCCCACTATCACGCCCCCCCGTTTTGTTGTTTATGCTACTTGCAACTCATGGATGCTGTACAGTTCAAATATTCCTGATATTCCATTTGACTCTCTGTGGAACCCCACAACCGGCGAGAATGCATCTCTTCCCTTTTGTGCCTTTGGTTCCCAACGTTTGTCGGTCCCTTGGGCTTATGGGCTCGGGTACGATCCTGCCGGGGACACCTATAAGGTGTTGAGATGTCGTGTGATGGATAATTTAAGAAGTGACAATGAGATTGGGAAGCTCTACGTGGAGCTGTTGTCGTTGTCCGCCGCAAGTGATTCGTGGAAGGAAATTGACTGTCCTCTCGACCCCTTTGAAATTGAACCCTATCTACAACCTTCTCTTTACATGAATGGCTTTTATTATTGGGCAACTGATGTGGGTTTTGTAACGTTCGACTTTGCTGAGGAGAAGTTTGGGCGTGTGATACCCAAGCCCAAGAGCGATAAGCTCCAGCGCCCATACGGCATTGCTTATCCTGTTGAGTATGATGCATTGCTTGCTGCTGTTGTTTTCGAGGAAGGTGCATGGCTGGCGAACAACATTGATCCTGCTGCTGCTGCTGCTGATGATGATGAAACGGAGCATTTTGTTTTTGAGATTTGGGTGTGGGAAGAAGCCGCCGCCACGTGGTCTTGGGTGTTCAGACGGAAAATCCGGGCTTATGTTGATAGAGTTTTGGGCCTCTACAAGAACCACCTCTTTCTTTCTGGCTCCTATGGTGACCTACTGGTTTACGACATTGAATCGCGCGAATTGGTGAATCTCGGTATCCGTGACGAGTCTCCGGGTATGATGGAGGTCTTCCCTTATGTTGCCAACGCCAAATCCAGCTTCAAATCCTCCTCAAGAATTCTCTGGTGTGGCGACACAACCACTAGTGTCGTCGATGGTGTTCCTGCTACTATTCCGGCACTTACTCGCAGTTTGAAACCTAACGACAGTCTGATGCTTATGGTGCAGTGTGTAGTCGACTGGACCCGCATTTTCTTTGTGATCTCAACGGAAAACAACTCGTTCAAAGTGCTGCTACAAGGTGATGATGATAATGGTCTTCTTCCAGATTTGTCTCGACTCAAAGCTGAAAACTACGATCTCAATTGTAAGAATGCCAAATATCACGTCCAAGCGAGTTGCAACACATGGATGCTGTGGGCATGTACCGTAAATCTCGCACGTTTGGATATTCACCTTCTGTGGGACCCTAGGACAGACGTGTTATAACCCTTCCTTCTTTTGAGCCGGAGCCACGCGTGCCTTGCCCAACCTCCATTGCCTTGTGGGGTTTCGGTATCGGGTTTGACCCTTCTGCCCCTAGGGACTATAAGGTGGTGAGATGTCGCATGTTGGAGTATTTTCGTTCCCATAGTGAAGCTTCTGCAGAGGTGTTTTCGCGTGAAACTTGGAATCAAATCCCTTATCCCCATGATCTTGTGTGGGAAGTCTATCAGTACCCGTCGCTTTTCATCAATGGCTTTTATTATTGGATGGCAAAGCATTCCACCACAAATGATGTTGCAATTATTTCGTTCGACTTTGCTAGGGAGGAGTTTCCCCGTGCTCTCATCCCTATGCCCGGTAGCAAAATTCCGATCACGATTCACTGTGTTTCTCTTGCTGAGCTTCATGGGAATCTTGCTGCTATTGTTTATGATTATCACGGACAGGAGAAGAAAATTTTGAGTGTTGGTTATCCAAGAGGACAGCAGAGGAAGAGGAAGACCAGTGCAACCCTTTTTAGTTTTGAGATTTGGGTATGGAAGCACCGCTGCTAGTCCCTTGAATCCACTCACCAAGTCCCTCCTACTCCTACTCGTGTTGTTTTTATGAGGGTCATCGGCCTCTACAAGAAGGATAAAGTGTTTCTTCAGGACTTGCATGGTTACCTATGGGTCATCGGCCTCTACAAGAAGGATAAAGTGTTTCTTCAGGACTTGCATGGTTACCTATGGCTTTACGATCTTGAGACGTTCAAGCTGGAGAACCTTCTTCAAAATACACAAGAGAAATAAGGTACACACAAAATACAAGAGTACATAGAAGATTACAAGAGAAAAATAAACACATTACACAACCTTCTTCAATCCATAGCCTTCACATCTATATAGCAAAAATACACCCAAGAAAGTTGCTATAGCCAATGCAAACCCCATTTTCATCTCCATTCTTTTTTCTTTTCAACGAATTTCTCGTGTGTTTCATCTCCATAAAATGGCTAGGTTTTACGTTGGCTCGCCAAGCCTATCACAACCCTCCTCCTTTACCAGGGCTTGGGACCTGCTATGTTGAGACAAACAAGGATCATTTTCCTTAAATCACGGTAAGTCAATATCCAACTCCTCTCTCTTTCTCCTTGCATATATACACATAGTAAGTCAATATATCCTATTAATTAGGAGTTTGTTCAATACAAATAGGAAAAATTATGAATATTAATTACAAACGACTTTTTCTTCTTGATATGCACAAATCCCACAATACTGAAAACATATTTCGCCAAACACACATATTTGTTAATTGTCGAGCTGTTTTTTGTTTATTTTTTAACATCGCATTATGTTAATAGTGTATATTAAACGTATATATTCAATATATGTTACAATAATCTTCTATTATACCAAAACAACAAAAAACAACAAATTGCTAAATTCATGTATATTTACAGTATATAAAACAAGTTGAAATCGTACTCATGTACATGTGCTAAAAATATACTGTTGACCTTAACATATACTAAAAAAACAGTATATTTGTCGGGAACATATACATAAGATATACTCACAGTCGACATAAAAGAAAATACAACAGATCAATGTTGTCATTATATACACAATATATACAAAACATATACAAAAAATACATTCAGCCATGTTCGGCCAATCCAGCGACTGTACATCTTAGCCCGGCCGAAGCTATTTTTACTCCAGTAAGCCGCCACCGGTGGCCACCCTACCACCTGATTCTTACTTCCCACCGCCTCTACCTTCCCCTCCTCCTCCCAGCCGCTGCCACCGACGCTAAAGATATCCGAACACTCTCTTCATCTCGTTCCTCTCCACCTCGCCGCCTCCGGGAAGCCCCCAGCCTCAGTTCCATTTCAAGTCCGAAAATGAAAACAACTTTTTCTCTTTCATTGATTTTTGCTTTCTATCGATCGAAATTAAATTAAAGATTCGACCTTTATATATATGTGTGTATGTGAATGAGAAGAAAAAACAGAGGCAGATCGAAGGTGTATGAGAAGAAAAACATAGCAAGAAGAAGAAGAAGAGAGAGAGAGAGAGAAAATAAATCCCATTAAGTTTGGAAGGTGATAAGTCACCTTTAATTACGGTGACATAATTATCTGATAATTTTACAATTATAAAAGTGAGATCTTGTATATTTGCTAATATTTGCAATGGTGTGTCATTTGTGTAATTAAAACTGATATATATTGTATGGCGTGCAATTTTCTCTTCTAACTTCCGTATTGCTATTGAGGGGCGCCCAATGGGATTTACTGCCGGCCCATACCTTCCTGACTTAAAGGAAAAATTGCACGATGTACCAACATTTTATTTTTTTATTGCATAAATATAAAAACTTTGTAAATATTAACATACTAGTACAACACCCGTGTAATACACGGGTGCTTGATAAAAAATTATTCTTAAATTTTAAAATTAATGAAAAAAATTATTTTAAGTTTTATTTACTATTTTACAAAAAATATATGTTATTATATATTTTAGAATGATATTTGTTACTTGTGCAACTTACATATGTTATATTATAGTAATTTTTATAACTTATATCATATAACTACTTGAAATATAGATATATTAATTGATAAATAATTTTATTTTTGTAATTAATTTTAAAAAAATTATTATTGTTATAAAGATACATGTATTATTTTTTTATACATACAATATGGATGTTAAATCGAAGCTCATCAAGAGATGATTAATTTGATATATTATATATGTAAAGCTGACAAAAATACATAAATTATTAATTTTTAAAATACATTTAAAATTCAATGGTTATGTGCAATTAATACATAACATGACTATAAATAATCAACATATTTATGGATAATCCGAACCTAATTGGAAATTAATTAAAATCTACCCAAGCCTAATAACGAAGCATGTAATTTTGCCACATAGAATTCCGAAGCATGCGAGCCTGCCACTTAGGTTCAGCACGTTCTGAATTAGGATATAGGGTGGATTAACATAATCTAACACTTTTTAATTGCAAAAATACCACGGAATAAATCTGATGCAATCAAGCGTAATTAAGGAAAAAAACTTATCCCCTTCCAAATAACTACTCCCTATGTAATTGGTAAGATATTATCTCACACATATCGGTAACCTCCCAATTTCAACCAAGTCAACACAAGTTCTCCCTCTTCTCTCCCCCACCTCTGTAACCGAAACTCTATCTCCCTCATCTCTCTCCCACAACGTCCTTTACACCCGAGTTCAAACATAGCAAAAACTAAGTTCGGAAGAAGTGTAGAGTAGGCATGACAAAATTGGCTTGGGCCTGCGGGCTGAGCCAGGCCGCCTAAAGGGTGGGTTGAATCTAAACAGGTTGGCAGGGCCGACCCTGGGGTAGGGCGACCGCCCAGGGCCCCCTATATATATATATATATATATATATATATATATATATATACTACATAAAGTCTTTAGTCCCGATCATCAATACTCGACTTTAAATAATTAAATAATAAATAGAAAATTAATCTTAAATTATATTTTTTTTATTCTTTACTTACGTTTTTCATATTTTATTCACTTTACAACAGTCATGAAAAAACTAAATAGTAGTTATTATTAGTGAAATTAATAACTTTTACATATTTTTCTTATTCTATTATATGATTTCTTAATTTTTTTCCTTCTTTTTTGGATATACATAATGTTATTTTATAATTGCACAATTTAATTATATTAGTGATAGTCAATAAAAGAGTTAAGTGAAATCAACTCATTTTTAGACGAATTTCAATTTAGATTTGTTATTTAACTTGTTAACTTTAAATTAAAAACTAATACTTTCCAATAAAAAATCTATATAATTATAATTGAGTATGTACTCCACTAAACTTAATTTATATATTTAACTATAAAAAGTTTAGAATTTTGACTGCTTATTTTATTTTTCTTTGAATAAAAAGGATTTTCTCTTTTATTTTCATTTTCTATTCTTAAAATTTTTTTCAAACTTTATTCATAAAATTTATACTTTTATTTTAAAATTCATTGTTTTATTAAACGAGTTACATAATTTTTTATTTATTTTATTGACTCATAAATAAAATAAAACAACCAATAGCAACATTAAGCATATTTCGTCCAGAGCCTTATAATGCTCGGGACCGACTCTGAAGGTTGGCCCGCACGAGCTGCGTCTTAGAAAAAGTTTTCACCTTTTACAAACGTTTTTGGCTCTAGTAATGTAAACGTTTTTTTTAATTCCAAAACACAATTACTCAAAGCAAAACATAGAAATGAGAATCGGGCAGGCNAGTACTGAACCTTTTGTCTTTGCTATGAAATTATCATGGTTCATGGATTCTGAAATTGATGGTTGAACTGAAATCAATTGTATGTTTCTGTGAAATTGTGATATGCCTGTGGCTATGACTGTGAACTCAAATTATATATGTATGAGATGCAAGCACCCGTAATACTGTGGCCAATAACTAACATTACCTGGAAAAAGAGAAAAAATACTAAAACACAACCAACAACACAATAACACAACAGAACTGGACTCCAAAAATTCACACCGAGGAGAAAAAAAAACTAAGATATACTCAAGTTCCTCAACCCACTTAAACATATATCTTGTGAATTTCAGCCTAATTAGTAGGTTGAGCTACCTTCTCAGACTATTTAGTATCAATTCCAGCCTTCATAATTGTTTCTGCCTTCATACTATGTGTTTGATTTGCTTTTTTTTTTTTTCATTGGATTTTAGTTTGAAGTTTGTTGAATGGTTGTCATTTGTAATGATTTCAATAACTACTAGTGCCTTTTAAAAAATTTGTTTACATGTTTGAAATGGTTATGGTGTTATTTATATATATATTTGTGTATAGATGTATATATATTTTTGGATCTGCCATAGCTTCCACTACACTGTCCGCGATGGATATATGACTTTTTTGGCTTTCCGCCATTGGCCGCCATCCGCTATTAATAACACCGCCCCACACTTTGAAAATTTTGTAGATATGTAAAAAGTAGTGTTGATAGTGACTAGCACTTGAGAAATACGGTGAATCTCAGACCTACTTAGCTTGCTTCCTAGAGTTTGTCTATATCAACTAAAAAATTTTAGTTTTATCAAGGACTATTTTTAACTTGAGTTTTATCAAGGACTATTTTTAACTTTAGTTTTATCAAGGACTATTTTTTAACTTGTACTTCTGGTCAGAAGCTTTCGCTGTAGTGTGATGTTCAGTTTTACTATTTTTCTATCATATCACAATTAATTAACTCTTCATATAATGTAACTTTACATTATAAAATTATTAATTATTCCACCAACACTTCTTTTTCCAACCATTTTTTTTTCTCAAGTGAAAAGATATCCAATAGCACCAAGATTTCACATTAGGTGATGCTTCAACAACGTAGGTGAGGACAAGATTATAGTTTATCGAGATATAAGGAAAGCAAGGAGGTGATGGACCTCAAACCATTCAAGCTGGACATTGATGAGCTCATACAGGAGTTTGCTGAGGTATTAATCACAAAAACAATTGTTCTCACCTTTTTATTGCTAATCTGCATACTTACTAATTAGCTTTTGTCTTGAGTGATTCATGCTTAATTTATATATATTCTCAACTACAGAGTGAATCAACTACCTTGACTGAATTCAAAAAGATCTGGCTTTCGAGGAAGTTCTCATTTATATTCGAGGCTAGACCTTCCTCTAACCAAGGTTTCTTTATGCAGTCATTGTATGCGCATTCCATCGGTGAGTAGATTTTTATGATATGTATAGATATGCAGACCGGGAATGATTGTTTGTGTCGTGAAGGGATTTATTTACTCTTTAGTTTATATAGGGGTAAATCTGCAGTTAGACATAATTATATTTCCTTAAACCAATTTGTAAAATTGTGCTAATCTGCTAGTTTGGTTGTTATTTTCAGTTTGTCATTTGTTTTTCTTGAAGGTACACTTGCTATTTTCAACGTTTTTTGGGAATCTTAGATGTGAAGAATAATATACAGTGAATCAAACTAAGGCTCGTGGAAAATATCAGAAGCCACAATCTGATAAAGATCCAGACTTGTGATTTGCACTAGTTATTCATACCTTCTGGTTTTCTCTTTTGGGGCTGTTGTGAAAGTTCTTGTCTTGGCATAGTTAGTTGTGACTGGAGCATTCAATATATTCAGGATTATTCATGATTGATAAGCTGTCGTTTTTTATGTGTTAAGATGGTCTAATTTTTCAAATAATTGCTATAATTTTTGTGGTTGTAGGTCACATGATTTCAGCAGGTTCTCTCTCAATTAGATTGGGTGGGCTCTACTGCTTGTATTGCTTATACGAAACACAGCCATTCAAGACACCTTCCAAAATTTATTTGTCTCTTGGTGAGTGTACTACAATTTTGACTGATTTAAGATTGTGTTCGGACATTAAATTTGTTGCCAAATTTTATCTGTTCTTGAGTCCATTCATGTGGCGGTTGCCAATGCTTATGTTTTGTCTTTCATTGTGTAAGTCGTACTCTGGAAAATACTCATTGTTCAACTTTTAGTCGCTTTGGAGTACTGCATTGTGCTTGGCATCTTACATGATACTAATAGTGGTCCTACCCAATGTTCTGAAAACCGAACCGTTCTAGAACCGGTGAAGCTACCGGTTCAATGGTTCACTGGTCGGACCAGTGGTTGAACCGGTCGAACCGGTTTAATTAATATATAATTTTTATTATTTTTATATGTATATTATATAGTTACATATATTTTTATCATTAGTCTTATAGTATATAATGGCATTTCTGTATGTATAAAATAATTGTATTTATTTTTATCATTATTTTTTATGTATAATATATAATTATATATATTTTTATCATGTAAGGTTTGTATTTATGACATATTTGTTAAACGTTAAAGTGTTAAACGTCCAGCAATGAACAAAATACATAAATCGAGTGAGAATCAATTTCTACATTTCTCTGTTGTGGTTTGTATTTTATGACAATTTCTATATGATATTTTTGTACTAAAAAGGCCCAGCAATGCAATTTGGCAATTTGCTTACGTATATAGTATATGCCAAGAAAAAGGGCCCAACCATTTGAAATTAGTGGGCCTTTTGAATGTCCCACGCCACAAGCAAACAAAAAATAATAAAACAGTTATCCCACATCGAAATACTATCAAAGAAATGAAGAGTTTATAGTGAAAAAGTCAACCAGCAAGTTTGAATTAGTAACCGTTGGGCCTGTTGAACCGGCTCCGGTTTTCCGGTTCCACTGGTTTTCGAACGTTCCGAGCGGTTTTTGACCGGTTTTGGTGACCAGCGGTTTAACACCCCAGACCGAACCGCTGAAGTGTTCGGTTCCCGGTTGAACCGGTCGAACCGGCCGGTCCGGTCCGGTTTTCAGAACTATGGTCCTACCTGATATCATAGTAATACCTATGTGTTGGAATAATCATTCGCTAATTCTAGTGGTCTTTGAATTGCGTTAGATTTTGAGGAAACATGATTTTTAAGAAACAATAAGGATCTGTAGGATATGACAAATAACTAGCACAGCTGACGGTAGCATTTTAAAAATATTTATTTTCTTGATTTCCTGATAAATTTTGGCTGCTTATGGTTTTGGTGTACTTTCATAATACTTTCCTGAAAATGTATTGGGTGAGGATTGGAAGTTGCAGTGTTTTTCCCTCACCATTAGTGCTGCTCTTTACACATTTCGGCTCTTAGATTTGTATGTAGTGATAACTCTTCTGTTTTGGCATAACAATGTCGAACCTAATGATATATGGTTTTAATGATGTGCTGCTGCATGCCTTAGTCAAGATGATGTCCTGAACTAAACTAAACTAAAACTATCAAGAGGTGACATTTGAAGACATTTTGCAATGCTATGTGGCATGTTAAGTTAGAATATTGAACAAAGTGCAAGAGAACCTAATGTGTTTCAATGTAAAAACTAGAAAGAGGTTCACGTAGGAAATTCTTGGAATGAGTGGATGGTCTGGGGATAGACCCGTGCGTTTCTTAGAGTTCATCTCTTTTCATCATCAATCATTGTGTTCATTTTTGTGTTTTTAATTCGTGTTCTCCTTTTCGGCATGCTGTTAATACTGGCTTGCAAGTTGCCTTTGCTAGACCTTTTGAGTAATGATTGCTTGTCATGTATCTCTCTCTTTTATACTTTCCTGATATTAGCAATAACTAGCCACAACTTCCCCGTGAAATTGGCTTCTTATTATGCTCATTACGGCTGTTGGGTAATCATTGATGAAATGTCTTAGGGCTTAAGAATCAAGTAAACAGTTGGATATCTAGTCTGAGAAATTGTTCCATATAAAATTAAGCAGATCCAGTTTCTTATCATTCATGAACTAATGGTGAAAGACCAGGGTGTGAAATATACCATATATAAAAGCCTAGCATTTTATTATAAGAAAAAATTTTTAGAAGGTTTCATTGATTGAGTTACCTGTCAACTTTTGTTCCCCTTTTTGTTGTATCATCAAGTATGCTACAGAATGAAGTTGTACGATTTGCTGCTTCAATATTACTTATAGCCTTTGCAGAAGATTGTGGTTTTGGTAGTGGCTGAAATAAGATTAGGGACTTGAGATGCAATGAGAAGTGACAGGTTGTGATTTTTAAGAGTTTTTTTTTTGCTCTCTCTCTTACAGGCGAGTTGAGGCAGCTCAAGACCCTTGCCCTTGAGGCAAAGACAAGGGGTGTGAAAATGGTTTCTACTTTACTGAAGAGCATGTTAGAAAGGAACATGTTTCTTTTCGGGTTTGTAGGTGTAAATGAAGACTCTGCCACAAAAAGAGTGAATGAGCTTACGGATATACAGAATGCTCGTGTCCAAACAGCTTATAGGAAGTGTGAACTTATATCATTTCTTTTCAGTGTTTTTTGGCTTCTGCATCCTTTCTGGCACAAAATGATATATGTTACTATGTCTGACAGTGATGTTGTGGCTGAATAGGTTATTTGCTGATTCGCGACTGGGCCACTTCATCCACATGGACCTGGTGAGTTTCATGATACTCGGTTGGTAATATGAAGACGAAAGTGAGGTGTTTAGTTTAACATGCCTGATGGAATAAACAATTAGGTTCCAGTATAAGCAATGAGTGATTTGGGAAGCCTTGGCCTTTCTTTCAGCTGAATCAGCAAGTCTTTTCTGAATTTACTGAAAATTTATCTCGAAATATGGTGCAAGACCTAAATAAATGGTCACTAATAACATGCTTTTCAAGTTTAACGATGAATTATTTAATCATCACTGTTACTTGTGTCAATTATGTAAAAAAAAGCCTAACATGCTGAACCGGTTGATCAAAATTGCTGTTTTTAGCTGTCAAACCTTGTCTTTATCGACAATGTCATCATATTATAGGGTAGTTAAGTCTGAAATGTTAGTGTTTAGTTCATGAAAATCTCCAAAAACCTCGTAGCTACGTTCCTTAATCAGGCATCAACAATGTCTAATCGGAAGCTAAATTAATTTTTTATTTTCTTTCACCACAAGGGCACGGAGCTTGATGTCAATTTGCTCAAGGAAAAGTCATCTGATTATGCATTGGCCAAGGAAATTGCCATTAAAGGTATAAGTAAAATCCTATTTCCTTATAATACATGAATATATAAATATCGAACCCAAGCACATTCACTCTTTTTTCTTATCTTTGCTGTGAAAATTTCACTTTCCATTCATAGTCGGGTTATTCATATCGTCTGTTTGCAATAAGAAACGTATCAAAAATATGAAAACTCGTGTTGCTTTGAAACTCATTTCACGATTTCCACTCATTGAATTTTGACATGAATATTCTTTGAAGAGGCTGGCCAAATGATAGATGTCGAAAATATAAAGCACATAGTTGAAAACAAGAGAGTGATAGGGGAGGTGGTGGAGAAGGCTGCTACAGATTGGAATTCGGAGAAAGAAATGTTGTATGAAAGAACAGGTCTTCCTGTTGCTTTACCTCAAGACAACGAAGAAGAAGAAGAAGAAGAGAACGAGTATGCAAGTTACAATCAGAATATGCAAAATGGCAATAAAGAAGAAGCTGATACTTTTGGTAAGGAACTAGAAGTTTTATTGGCAAAAGAGGGCTAAACATTCTTGGGAAAACATATACGATTAGTGGCATTTTACGGCATTTTTTGTGTGGGTCATTACTTTGCTCTATTTGTATTATACTATAATGTTTTTGGGCAATTAAATTTAACATCATAAATTAATTAATGTATTAAACATATTACTGTGGAGTTGCATTTAAAATTTTAAATTCCACTCTCATCTTCAAAAATTAAATAAAATAATTATATTACTGATTCACGCTTAGAATGAGGTATCTGACTATCTGTAGTTCCTTTGACTAAAAAAGAAACAAGGAATAATTTTCATAATCTAACGGTTCAGAATCATTAACGTTTTGTCCCTACCTCTCAATAGAAAATCAAAGGTGAGTTAATGGCTTTTGTCCCTCTTTTGGCCGACATATGGATCTTCATGTCATAAATTATGTTCCCTACAGCTAACCCACTCTCTACCACGCGCTACCCCCAAAACTGTTTAACACACGCGCACACAATCTCTCATGATGTGTACTAGTGTGTACCTCGTGCCATATACGGGAACAATATTAAATTAACAACTAGTGCGTATCCCGTGCGATGCACGGGTAAACAATATTAGTTAATGATTATATATTAAAGATGAAGTTAAATAATATTAACTAATAATTATAAATTAAAGATGTGAACTTCATACGTAATATAATTTATCGTATATGAGTTGTAAACAATATATAATTATCTTGTATAAAAGAATTAAAAAAAAATAATTGTTTAAAGTATTAAAAATGTCTAAAATATTATATAACATATGTAAACGTATCTAAAATTTTAAATATCATTATTGAAAGATGTGGAGTCATCTAAAATTTTTTTAAACTATTTTGTAAAAAAAACATGTCTAAAACTATTTATATTTAACATATATATGTATATGTATATGTGTATGTGGACATGTATAATGTGTACAAAATTGTCTAAACAATATGTTTAAAATTATATAAAATATTATGAGTCTAATAAGAGATATTGTCTCGCGAAACGAAGTAAAAAAAAAAAAGCAAAGCAAGGCATTGAGATGATATCGATAATTAAAACATAACTTCCATGTAAGTTATAACAAATAAAATAGAATTTTATATCTAAAATTACCATGCTTTATAACTCTTATTCTCTTTTTATGTAATACAAAATCTTATATCACATATCTAAAAAAGTATTCAAAATATTTTACATTATTTTTGAAATATGTGTGAAGTAACCTAAAAATTTTTTAAACTATTTTGTAAGGAAAACAATTTCTTAATCTAGAGAATATGTAAAAATTTGTCTAAATATTTTTAAAACATTAAGAATACCTAAACTATTATATAAAGTGTGTAAAAGTATCTAAAATATTATATATTATTCTTGAAAAATATGAAATTATCTCATTTTTTTTCTAAACTATTTTATAAAAAAAGTATCTAAAATCACTTAAAGTTAACATTTCTCTCTCTATATATATACACTTTAACGAATGTGTAAAAAAAGTTACTCAAACATGTTTAAATTATATATAATATTATATATAAAAATATATTTAGAGTTATATCCACTGTTATATATTATAGTCTAAAAAACCGTTGGTCTAACAAACATTAATAATTTTAAGCAAAATACATAAAAAAATAATTAGACCTAATTTTCTTATATAGTAGATATCCTATAAAAATTTTATTAGAGGACTTATATTTTGGAGAATTGCTTTTTTATATAGTAGATACCCTAAAAAAATTTATTAGACAATAACTCGGACTTATATTTTGCAGAATTGATTGAGCAAGGTATTCGTGATTTTAATAGAGTTTTGGAGAGGCAGTGCTAGACATTTAATTTATAAGATTCTTTAATTTGTGAAGGATTGAAAATCAAAATTCGTGGTATTATTATTTCTTAATATAAAATAAGTGTTATATTAAGGAGATTTAATAGGATAAGATTTTTTAATGGGATAAGATTTTCTAACGCAAAATCAGTGCATTGGTCAATTACAAACTAACAACATTCCAAAAATCTTGGAAAGCATTAATTGCACAGGGAAGCTTTAAAAAGAATATTTATTACCATTAGTGGCAAGTAATTAATGCAAAACATGTTGACTAAGAATTTGACTTACCATTTTTAAAAAATGGTTATTCTTTTTATATAATGATAGATATTATAAATAGATCTCGAGTTTGAGTCACTCAATGGCGGAAGTGAAAACTATTATTGCTCAGAAAAATAATAATTATAAATTAGAAAGGAGGATAAACAATACTTAATACTTATAAATTAAAGATTCGGGGTCAAACAATGTAATTGTACAAGAGAATATAAAAAAATTTGATTACACATCATCTCAAAATTATTATTATACTTTTTTGTATGGTTAACTTATAATATTGTAAAAATATTAGTAATTAGACCGATGAAAATTAACTTCTTAAAGTAGATAATGGATTTCTAGTAGTAATTATGAATTGATTTCTATTTTATTTTATTTTTTCAAATCTGTATAGACAAGGGATGAGATTTTTTAAACACGTGAGACGTATGCAATGAGATTTTATAACACAAGAGATAAGCTCGTGTAGATTTATACTAAAAATAGAAAAAAGAAAAACAAATATTTATTGTCAAACAACGGTTGTGATGAACTAAAAAATAGGAGAAACAAATCTTTACACAATTAATGAGCCGATTTTTTTGCCTATTCAGATTTGTCCAACAATTACTATATGTAGGATATATTTAATGATTTTGGTGGGAAAAAGTTTCTAAATTTGTAAAAATGTTATTCTTTTTATATAATGATTGGACCTATTGGTCGATTCAATTATATGAATTGAACAAATTTATAAAATCAAATTAAACGGATTTACTATTTATTTGAATTAGTTGCCTTTTATCTAAAATTTCTTTGAAAATTTTGTTAGTTTAATTGGTTAATCGGAATAACAGAAATATATTATAATTTTGAATATAAATAAATATATGTGAATTATATATATTGTGTAATATTTATATAATTTTCACTAAAAGTATTAAATAAATTATAAATATATAACAACATATAATCGATTCTATACACACACTCTCTCTCTCACACATACCAATCTTGACAAAAATAAAAAATAAAAGATATGCTTTTTTACATATTAAATTGGAATTTTTTGTTATTTTACTTAAAATCGTTTGCATTACATATTAAAGCGTAAATATATTTTACCATATTAACTAAATATTTTTATATTATAAATTATTCTTACCTTTCTCATTGTTTTCTTGAGTCAATATTTTTTTTTTTTTTAAAACTGAATATTCATATATTTTAAACAAAAACTTGATATCTTTTTATTTATCACTTATTTTCATAACTAAAATATCCAAAAAAAATTTCAATAATTTTTTATTTGACACCATGTTTTTTATACCAAATGAATAGTATTTTTTTTTCTTATGAACTAATATGTTTATATATCAAAATCAATGTAAAATAAGTTATATCCCTAAAGGTTGCTATAAATAAGTTATAAATATATATTATGTAAATCAATAGAATAAAATAATATAAAATTGTGTTTCTATTATCTATTTTTTGATATGGGTTTGAAGTATTTATGTTGATAATATAAAAGTGGTTGAATAGAACAATTTGATGCGTCAAATAAATTAGTTTAAAAGGAATTAACGGGTCATTTATCGAGCACTGTGAAAATTGTTGGTCTGAGAATAAAAATCATAATTCCGACATCATGCATTTTGTAGAAATCAATTCAAGATCATAAATATAAATGAATACATTTGAGATCCGAACGATATGAAACTCCCAATTTCAGGCATGAAAGATTAGATTTATTGATCTACTAGTCCTTGATAATTCTACATCTTCTACATACTTGATAGAATTTATTTTTCAATCTAACTCCATAAATAATTTATAGACAAAATAAAAAACATATAATATTAAATTATTATTATTATTATTTTTTACAGAGCTGAGCCCTTAACGAGTCGAGTCGAGCTTGACTCAGTAAATAAATGAATCATAAATCGAGCTCGATATTAACGAGTTGATCTTAAGTATTAACAAGTTAAATTATAAAAAATTATATAAAAATTCTGAAACCAAAACTCATGAGTTTGTTTGGTTATATCTCTGACCACAACCCAAGCCGTTGAAGGCTTCAAAGCCGATCGAGTTTGACTGACAGTCAAAAAGTAACTCCATTATTAACCCTTTGAAGCGTACAATGTGAACAAATCATTATTAATGTCCAAACATAGGTGAGAATTCGTGTAAACCCATAGACCACTCAGTTTTTAGGGGGAGGGAACACGAGTGGGGCCCACGCGCTCGTTCGCGACGAAATTCATGCACACGGTCAGCCAGCTGCNTCACACCAAACATTTCAAATAATTTCTGCATATTATTAATTTCAGAGAAAATAAAAAGAAAAAGAGATTTGTATATCGAATTCGCGCGAAGAAAAATCGGAATGGCATCAACGAATTTCGAGAGCGATTTGAATCTCAAGGCAACCGAGCTACGATTGGGCTTGCCCGGTTCAGATGAACCGGGAAAGAACAACAAGCGGTCTTGTTCGGAGATGGACAATTGTAGCCAAATTGGTGAAAAACAAGATTGTGTTGCCCCAGCTCCCAAGTAAGTAATTTTTTTTTTTAAATTAACATAATTATCATTATAATTAGATTGAAAAAAAAAAAATTGCGGGTTTATGGTTTAGTTTACTGATTTGAAATTGTTTTTGTTTTTGCAAATCCAGAGCACAAGTGGTCGGTTGGCCGCCGGTTAGATCTTATCGGAAAAACGCCATCCAACTGAAGAAAAAACCCGAGCCCGAAAACGGGCCCGGGTTTTTCGTTAAGGTAAGCATGGATGGAGCTCCGTATTTGAGGAAGATTGATCTCAAATTCTACAACAATTACTTTGATCTCCTCAAGGGCTTGGAGAACATGTTCAAGTGCACTATAGGTACAAAATTTTATCCAATGTCACAAATTTTTGTTAAAGAAAATAGTATGACTGACTAACCATTAGACCTGACCATCATCAATGTACCCATATTAATTTGATTTCATTATTTAAAAAAAATATTGAAAACATTTGTTTATTTTGGCTAAATTAATCTTATTTGTCGATTTATTGTGTATTTTTGTAGGAGTGTATTCAGAGAGTGAAGGGTATAACGGATCTGAATTTGCGCCAACATACGAAGACAAAGATGGGGATTGGATGCTCGTTGGGGACGTGCCATGGGAAATGTTCGTCATCTCTTGCAAGAGACTAAGGATTATGAGAGCCTCGGAAGCTAAGGGCTTGGGATGTATGTAATAATTTTTTTGGAAATAATGAAGAAAAGAAAGAACAAAGAAAATTAAGGAGAAATTGGGAGAAATTGTGTTGTGTATGCTCATAATGTGGAAGGTGAAGAGCCCTTGATGGGATTAAAAGGGATTTCTTCTAAATTTTTTAGCTTCATTTTAGGTTAAAAAAAGAGGGTTTAATTGGAATTGTTTAAGCATCTTTGTATTGTACATATGTTAGAGGGACGTTGATTTGTTGATGTTGTTCCTTAATTTTGAGTTTTATAGTTACCTTGTTTTGTAGGTTTATGAGAGTTTGTAATGTATTTTCACAGAAGAAGCACATGAGTTTGGAGGACAAATAGAACAATACGAAATATTTAGGTTGATGGAGTAAATTG